TTGCCCTGACCAACAGCCAGAGGAACAGTTAAAGCAGTGAGGGGTGGGAAGCAAGGTTGGGTGTGAGCAGGCAGAAGCCCCCGTCAGCGGTGGGACACTTGCACACAAGGTGACAGAAATGAGGAGGGGGCGGGAGGAGGCAAAGCTGGGGCCAGTGCTCCCGTCCCACCTCACCAGCTGCCCCACTCTGCAAGGTGAAACTGTAGCTAATTCCAACTATCAAAAAGGTAAAAAGCCATAATGGACTAAAGGAGAAGCAGATCCATTCAAAGTATGAATGGAGCATATTTCTTGCCGGCCTTGCTGCTCTGAGGTGTCTAAGTCACAGCCACATGAAACCTTTAAACATAGCCTTGACAGAGCCCACACCAAAGAGAGGGACTCATCAAAGGTGGGGATTGCAATGGTCCCAATGACTGCCCGTGTGTGCCCTTGACTGCCAGAGAGGATGCCAGGGTTCCAAGGGACAATCAGTGTGTCTCCCCCGTGTCCCTCCCACATCAGCCAGGCTACACCCGGGAGTATTGGTTTGCGACAACACAGTTAGAGGGTAATCCTTGGAAGGGCATGTCTTTGGCAGGAAAACATAAATAAAATTTCCCTGAAATGTTTGATTTATCTGGCCACTACCCGGTTTCCTACATTTGTAAACAGGATTCTCATTTGTTGACGATAGATACTTGCGAAGCTCAGGAGTGCCAGATGCTTTCCAAGTGTCGCCATTTCTTCGTGAGTGCCAGATGCTTTCCAAGTGTCGCCATTTCCTCGAGCCTAGCACAGTGCCCACCTTGCGGGGGGTGGGGGCGGCATGGTTTGCTCGGGCAGTGAAGACAGGCCTGGTCTCACCCCCATATCACAAGACGCAAAGTTCGGTTGACTCTTTTAACTGTGGAGCATCTTCTAGTCAGAGTTTCTTAGGTCCCAAAGGACCACAGATGGAAGCCAGGTCACCTGACTGTCTGTTCTGGGCCCAAGTGAGTGAGTGTTGTGGTTTCCAAAGAATGGAATTCATTCTCAAGGAAATGCTCAGGAACCCAGCTTCAAAGACTCAAGCAAATCTGAAATTCAAAGACAAGAGCTGTAAACAGGACGGCGTTTGGCAGCCAGCCTCCAACCGACCAACTGGAGGGGCTCGGCCCCTGCTGGGCGCGGGTCCCCTTCCCTTCCCAGCCTGCCTGCACACCTTTTAGCAGCTTTGCTCCCAGCCCTCACTTCCTCAATTATCCCAGAGGACACCTGCCTGCTCGTTCCTTTGATGCTGTTTTAGGCTCTGCCTAGGTAATTCCACCCACAAATAACATCATTAATTAACTTACATTAAACTCACTTAGCACATTAGATCAATTAGGAAACAAAAGCCCCAGCCAGCCCCTGCCTCTGAGGGTGCAGGGCTGTCTCTTCTTGAATTCGCATATTGCGGGCACAACTTTTATTTAATCTCCAAGATGACTATTTCCCTAAAAAATAAGTCAAGGAAAGACGAACTGATGTCATCATTTAGCCTCTGCAGCACATTTCTACAGCACCTGACTGAGCATTTTCATGCATGTCAAATACAGGCAATTTCAGCTGGCTCAATCTAAGATCGCTAGTAACTAAGAGAAATTTTCAAAATGGCTTTTGGGGTGCAGGCATCCTGACAGCCCCTCACCCCATCAGTGCAAGCAAGTGGGACTTGACCGTATTTAAGTTTTCATCATTGTCATTTGGGAGTCAAGAAGCGTTACCTGAGGATGGTAACCCTATGCAATCAGAGCTAGGGAAAAGTTTTGCCCTGAGCCTTTTCAGGGGCTGGGCCACTCCATAGGTCGTGTATTAGGGGTTCTTACACTCTGAGGGGGTCTTCAGTCCTGGCATCCCCCCAGCACATCATGGGCACTCTGTGAAAATATGTCCAGTGAGTGAATGAATGCTATCCTTTGTGTCAAAGAAAGGTCACCAGTTTTTCTCGTCACACAGTGGGGGAGGAGGGGCTGTTTGAACATCAAAGTGCCCTAAGTCAACAAGCGAAGAGACTCGTCCAGGTGGCAAAGCTGCCCTGTGTGGGCACAGACACCTGCTCTTTCCCACAGGCTGGATGCCCTTGGCTGTCAGACACGTGCTGGGGGAGCTGAAGGCCCTATGCCTCTCTGGCTCCTCCTGCCTGGGCACCCTCTGGAAATGACCATAATTCTGTGCACACACTTAAGTAACCAAGGCGCCTTTGTTTTCCATTTCCAGCAAATCAGGTGACTGAGGGAAACGGATGGGTGGTACTGAGCCCCACACAGGAAGATGCCCTTGTATAGAGAGCCCCAGGTGTGCACCCTCAAGTACATGCAATCCAGCTTACCTCACAGGACAGTGAACCAGGCTCCTCTCCACACATGGCAGGAAGGTGCCTCCTCAGGCAAGTCATGATGACACCACAATCAGAGTAGTAACCATCACAATCATGAGGCCCATGGTACATGGAGGCCAACTTAGCTGTGGTATCCCCAGACCCCTTAAGATTGACATTGTTAACTGATGCCATTCCATGACTAGATGCAGACAACCAAAAGGTGAGCCAAGCACTGAAATAAGATATCAGTCTCCTGAGTATAACAAAGAGATCATTCTGCCAACAGCACTTTGATCCTGATACAGTACTTTCTTAAGATATGAAGAAAACAAAACTACGGCAAATGAAAATTGAGAAGTCACTGTTTTGACAACTATCAGACCATTACTAAATCTCTTATCTCAAAAATTCCATGTTGCCATATTCCCAATTCCATATTTCTTAACCTGCATACACAGGAGAGAAGAAGGGAGGATTTCATATTGGTTTTAATACACATTCATTGGTTCAACAAACTTTTCCTGAGCATCTGCTGCATGCCTGGCACTACGCTGGGACGCAGTGACACTGTGGTGCCACAAGTAACGAGACAGAAGATGTCCCTGCACTCTTGGAGCTTAGATTCTAAAGGGAGAGAAGCTGCAAAATATAGAGATGCGTGTACTTTCAGATAGGTCCAATGCCACGAAGAGATAAACAAGCGGAACAGGCAGAGAGTGTGCCTGGGTGTTAGTGGGGACACCTCGGGAACATGATATTTGAGCAAAGACCTGCATGAAGTGAGGGAGTGAACCAAGGGAACTGTGAGAGTGGAAGTAGAGGCGGCTGGGGTGAGCTTGAGATGCCCCTGCAACAGCAGGAAGGCAGCACTGCAGCAGAGGAGAGGAGGACCGCAGGCTCGAGGCCACGGCAAGCAGGCTGGGCTTTCATTGAGCATGGCAGGAAAGCAGCACAATGGTACAACTCAGGGCTACGGTTCAGCCAGAGTTGTTCATGGCCAGTGTTGTTCTGGGACAGTCTGTGCCCACAGCTTACCACGCCACACCACACCATGCCACACCACACCATGCCATACCATGCCACACCATGCCACACCACGCCACGCCATACCATGCCACACCTTGCCATGCTACACCACGCCATGCCA